GAGCCTGCTTCTGCAGGCTCAGGACACAACACTTATTAATTGCCTTGCGATGGGGACATGGTAGGACCTCTGTTCACTGTGCCACAGCTAATCTGTTCTGCCAAAAATAGCCAAGAAATGTCTCTGGAGATATCTTTTGTCCATGGGTGCTACAGAGATTTATAGGCAGCATGGATGGTGGGGGAATTCTGTGAGTTGCAGTCCACACATCTTAAAGTTGCCAAGGTTGAGAAAATGAGTATACAGTTCGATTTAAAACATTTGCCTTAGAATTTCTGTTTCCAGTGGTGTAGCTTGGTGACTTTGCTGTGGCAGGAAATAGAGTGGTATTCCTTTCTGAGCACTGTTTTTGAGATTCAGCAAAGGAAGGATTGATAACAATGCACTGCGTACTATCTAGTCTGTTTCTGCCTAGCAGTGGAATAGAAAGACTTGTTGCATTTTCCTCAGATCTGTTCTGGGAGTTTGGGGAAGCTTCCTGAACAAATATGTTGCTTTCACACACACCAGAGGAAATCCTGTTGCAGGAACGGAAATCTGTTGGTGTAATATTAGAGGGAGACTTCAATCTGGATGTAGCCCCAGGATGACCTTTGGAAGCTGAGTGCACAACTTTTATCTCTGCTAATTAAAAAAAAAAGGGCAGCTTCTGAAATATTAGGGGAGTGGCTTTGGAATCTAAGTTGACAGATTTGCTGCTAAACAGGTAGAACTTTCCACCTAATGAAATTCAGGGAGGAGCTATAGTAAGTATCACCAGGAAATATTGAGATCATTCAGCAAGCATGATGATTTGTTTGTGCTGTTGTTTTTAGCAATGACCGTTTGAAAAAGTTAAGTTTAAAATAAGATTGATCAAAGTTTGTTATTTGTTTGTTTGTTTGTTTAATTTATTCATTTATTCATTCAATTTCTATTTCTGCTCATCTCAAACAAATGAAGTTTGGATGTTCCATATTTGTGTTTTGTTTTTTAAGCAGAAATCACAAGGAGATCCATATCTAGTTGCAACTTCAGGACAAAAGAAGATGTGTTGCCTGTCTGTCCAACCTTGTGTTTACAAGCCTAGGTCTCCTGTTCTGTCGTGCAGAGAACTCCTACTATTGTTGCTGTTGTTGCTGCTGCAGCTGCATGCAAAACCTAAAAACCTGCCCCAGAATGAATGAGGAGACCCAGTAATTGGTTCATTTGATCCAATATTATCCATTCATACTGGCAAGAGGATCTCTAGAGCAGGGCTTTTCAACCAGTGGTACGGGTACCACCTGTGGTACACGACCATCAGGTGGTACGCGACCATCCTAGAAAAGTGGTAGCGGGGGAGGGGAATGAGCTGAACAGGTGGCAGCACCGCATAAGCCTGAGCGAGAGATGGCTGGAGCTGCAGGGCTGTCAGGGCTCAGCGGATGCACCAGGATCAGCGCTTCGGGGCTGTCAGGGCTCAGCGGAAGCGCCAGGATCAGCGCCAGGCTCCAGCAGGAGCTCGGCGCTGATCCTGGCGCTTCTGCAAAGCCCAGAAGAAGCGCCGATCAACTGGAATGTTGCAGCACCTCCAGGGTCTTGTGATTTACATTCATATGCTTGCCAACTGATTCATATTTATGACAGCCACAGTGTCCCAGGGTCATGTGAAGTGACCAAAACCTGCTGCAACCACCCAGCAGACGGGGGGAATAAAAACCAAACACCCCCCCACCCCACCCCCGCTGCCAATCCTCAACAGAAATGCTCACAACAATGGAAACCTCGGACAGGAGGAAGAGCGCCGCCGGGTGGGCAAGCAGGTGTCTTGCTCGGCTGTGGCTTGGGGGGCACTTTTTTTCAGTGCCATTGTAACTTCGAAAAGTCACTAAGCGAACTGTTGTAAGTCGAGGACTACCTGTACTTTATCACTTTTTTCCTTTTTTTTTTTGGTCATCAAGTTTTTGACACCTTGCTAGGCGACTGGTGGTACTCGGATATTGCCATATCCTAAAAGTGGTACAATGGGTGAAAAGGTTGAAAAGCCCTGTGTTAGATAGCGCCCAATGTTCAAGTCTGTCAAGATCCTTCTGTATCTTAAGCCTATCTTCTGGAGATATTAAGTCCATAAATCCAGAGCTTGCACGGGTTTGCCACTGTTGACTGTGATTATTATAATAATAAAACTTCATATGTAATATTAACTTTTTATTTGTACAGAAGGAACATTACTTGTAGCAGTTCTTGTCTTACCTTGTCTCACAGATTTCGTCAGCCTATTTCCCAAGGATACCCCAATGGGAAGTATTCGCTCCATCCACACCTGGTCTTGATATCTTCCCATGTGCCTGCATACGAGGTAAAACTTTATGCAATCCGTCTTTCCTGCTTTCCTCCATGGGACTGAATGAGATGTCTTCCATTTTGTACACATAAGGGGAAAGATGCATCAAATATATCCAACCAATCAAACAACAGAAAATTTGCTAGGTGAAATATGACAAAACACAAGGACTCATAAACAAAATGAAAATATATTTCATAATTCATTTAATGTATGAGCTAAAAATGGGGAGAGTGAAAAGCAGAAAGAAATCTAGTTAGTTCTCCCGTAGCCTTTTCCATCAAATATTTGCCTTGTGCTGAAGAGTTTAAAGGCTAGTCTTAAACTGAATAAGTATGTTAAAGTTGGTTTGCTGATTGACAGAGCCTTCTGACTCATTTTTGTGGTGGGCATTCTTGTAATGCATAAGCAAATAGTGAAAAAAGACCATCTAGTGTCAAATTAATAAACTTTGAAAGATGCCATCTAAAACAGAAAATATGTTGTTTAAACTGCATATACATGTAATGGTAGGGTTTGTTTCCACTCTTCCATATTTGTATGTGGTTTATTTTATTACAATATTGAATTTAAAAATAGTTTAGGAGAGTAAACCACAGTTTATAATAGATTTTTGTTGGCTAATTGCAGTTGTGGCTTAGCATGAACAGGGATACGTGGTTTACTCTGTGTGTGTGTGGGAGGGGTATTCTTTGAATTCTTTTAGTACTTACCTAAGCATCAGAAGTGCAAGTAGCTTTGAAAAGTAGACATAACAAAGCATAGTTATTAGACTATTTCCAAGACAATAGTCTTGCTTTTTTTCCTAATTTGGCAATTAGAAAATTGTTAATATGACTTAGTGGTGGTACAACATCAGCAACTAGAATGTTGGCAAAATCAGTCTTGTACAGAAAAATACAACTTTTGAAGTCATTGTATTGGTTATTTGTAGGCTACTTGGCTCAACTGTTAGCTCATTATCTATAAAGTCCTACAAGGCATAGTAACTTGTTATATTGGGTGATATCTTGGTGGAGTGGAATCTGCCCACCTGATCTGATCATGGAGAGTCTACTTAGAGATCTTCATCTCTTTGTGAAGTAAAAGTTGGACATGGTGGCAGGACCTCTTAGCAATAACCTAGTTTATAAATATCTCTCCATTGAGCTACATGTGACATTGTAAGCAAGTGAAAACAGTCTTATTCCATCAGTCTTTACCCTAACTGAATAAGGATACCATGATGAGTATTTTTATGGTTTTTGTAGCAGTCTTATTGTACTGGTTGTTTTAACTAATCTGCTGGGTATAGTGTGACCTAGAACTGCCATAAAAATCAACCAACCAATACATAAAATAGACTTTTTATGCAAAGTATATGGATCAGAATCACAGATAAATTAATTTATAGGAAGGCAGAATATAGAAAAGGAAAATATCCTGAGAGTAAGAGTACTTTAATAGCGGAACCAATCTCAGCAGATTGGACTTGATGATTCCAACTTTGTTTTCAACCCTGTTTTTCTACGAGTAATTCATTTTGTGAATATAATTTTAACATTTTCCTTTTCTAGTCATAAAAACGAATTCTATCTAATAACAAGAACTTTCAAATATATAAAAGTGCAAGAATGTCTTTAGACTGATAGAATTCATTCACTGTACTAAACACATTTGCTTTTAATTTGAAAACTATATTCTTACTTGTTGTTTTCTTTCAATTTTATTTCAGATGGTTGTGGACAGTGTTAAGCATGGTGTGGTTATGGTAGTGTATGAGCATATTGGGACCACACTGGAAAGCCTCATTCATTCGGTAGAAAAGGCCTTGGATGGCCAAATAGCAAAGAGTATTGGGATAATTAGTGATGGAGATTCCAGAGAGATTAACTTGCTTCAAGGTAAAGTTAAGATAAAATAATAAGAATCTTGAAGAGCTGACACAATCTTTCATATTGAAATATTACACAGAAGAGTTGAAATATGTGGAAGTGAATTTCCTAGATTCTGATTTATATTGCAAGTTATATTGGTTTACCTATTTTCTAGCTGATTATGGAAAACAACCTCTTCCAGAAAAAAGATAACTATATGAAATATTATTGTTAAAAGATTTTTTTAAATTACCAACAGCAACAAAAAAAACCCTGCAGAAATCAGCAAATATATCCATGTACAGTACAGAAGTAGTCAAGTATAGGTTTTAAAAATATTTCTGTTGGAAAGATACTGGAGCAAATAATGGAGAACTGATTAGGGAATGGAGGAATAGGAAACCAGATCAGATCTGAAACTGACCAAATTCCAAATTTTAGTAGGAAGGTAGGGCTTTTCTTCGTTTCAGTTCAATTACGGGCCAACACCTAATTGATGTTGTTTGAATTCAAAAAGCTAAGCAGGCTTAGACCTGATCAATACTTGGAAAGAAATTCCAGAATGATAAATTTCCCTTCTTACAATTTTTTTGTGGTTTTTTTCCCCTTGATTAAGAGGTTATAAGATCTTCTGAGTGTGAAAATTTAATTATTTTTTACTTGACCTAATAATGTTTCTCTAAATTTCTCTTGCCTTCACTGAAATTTAAAGACCATAAAGTATAGCAAGATATATTTGATAATCACAACTTCCATAATTAGTTTTCAGTCATCAATCTTACATATTTCTGCAACTTTTAGTGGTAGAAGTGTGTAGTGGTACAAAAATGCATTAATTTTTTCACTTCCCAGTAACTTGATTTGCTTCCATTGCTCAATATAAGGCATATCTCCTTACTTAGGAAAAATACAAACAGTATTTCATATAGAAGTCTAATCTTTTGTCAGCCTTTTATTAGATTTATTAGATTTTAACTACTTTTTTTAAAATAGAGATCCTGATAAAATAAAAGAGTATTTGGGAAAGTAGAACAGAAAAAAAGTATTAGACAAGAAGAAAGCACAAAGAAAAGGGTTTTTTTTCCTGCCAGCCCAAGATTTAAAAACTTACAAAATTCTTATTTACTATGTTGAGTATAACAAGAGATCCTTGCCTTGAATTCTAGGATAATCTTTATATATATCATCATCAATGCAGATGGCAATTTGCAAAGGAAGAAAGGTTTTGCTGGTTCCTGCCTCAGTTTGATTAGAATCTAAAAATATATACAAAAAGGAGCAGGAAGAGGGAAACAGGACAATTCTTCCACATTTCCTATACAAGGAAAAGATTATTATGGCTCTAAAGTTAAGAGATAGGCTCCAACTCAATAATGCCAGAATGACATTGTTTCAATCTTACATCTTAAAAAAATAATAAATCATAGGAGTTTGTGCATCTCAAGAGTAAAGGTAGGAAAATCAGAGTCTGGCATGTTACTTATATACGTCTTCTAGAAAAAAAAATTGAAACAGTCAATACTTCCTGGTGAGGTATAATTAGGAGAATCTTTTTGCAATTCAAGACAATTAAAACCCTGAATATTGTCCATTCACCTTAAAAGCATCCTTTGCTTAATTTTATTTAGGTTACACAGTCAACACCCAAAATCTTCTTAAACCTGAGGTGAGAGAGTTTTGGAAGCGCTTAAAAAGTTGCATTATGTCTCCAGAAGAAGGGGGAAGCATAGACCTCTTTGTTCCTCTGGCAGCTTCAGGTCAGTCCAACTTGCCACCCTGAAAAGTTGGCATCTTTCTCTTTGTTTACAATAGATCTAATCAAACAGGAAACTCCTTTGATTTGTTTGGGCTTCAAAGGAGCTACCATATGTTATGCACTGGTTAATTGCTGGCCACAAACTATGAATGGTTTTGCTTCTTCCCTCTTCCTTCCCAAACCCTTTTCCTTTGGGTTGTGCCTTTTAGATATTAGCCAGAAAGTGGGAGTTATCGCCTCTTACTCATGCTTTCCAGTCATTTCCACAGTACAAGCATAACCAGAGGCATACATTGATCAAAAAGTCAATATGTTGGCTGTAACCATGTGATTGAAGCCCCAATACTTTTGTGTGTGTGTGTGTGTGTGTGTGTGTGCGCGCATGTATGTGAGTATGATTGTTTTGGCATCTCCAACTCCCCCCTCCCCCAATACCCCTGAGTATAACTTCATTTAATTTAGCTTCACCTAGCAAACATTTGGGTTATCCTCAGCTGTATCAGAATTGGTCTTCAAGAGGCAAAGATCCTAAGAGTTGGTTCACGGACCAAAGACTAAAATATTGTTTGTGTGTCTTTTCACTTTCAAATTAAAAAAAGAAAGAAGTTTTCTCTGATGGATAAAAACATCCAGAAATCCAATTTTCTCTTATGCCCTAGCTTTCTCCTCCACCTATTTATAGGATGTCCTGTGAAGAGTCTTTATCATCCTGTGAAATAATAAAATATTATTCACAGGCCATTATAGAGATTTCCACCTCCACATAATATTGTTATCACAGTATTGTACATAGTGCACAGAGTTATGTGGTACAAGCTCAGTCAACAGAAATAGCACAAAAGGGTAATAAAATATGAGGAGCAAAGAGAAAGCAAAAGACACATACTGATTAGAAACATTATTCCAAGTGTTTTTTTTTCTATAATGGCCATAACACCTCATTGTGAATTTATTCCAAAAGGGGTAGCGATGTTGGGAGATCACGGTAACTGGGTCAAGGAAACATCTCCTTCGCCTTATTTTTTCAAACAGGCAGTAAAATTAAATTGGGGAAAAAGTAATACCACATTTCTTGTGGACTATTCATTGCTCAATACAGAGCATGTGTTTTCCCATCTCCAGCAGGAACAGGCAACTGCATTCATCCACTCTTAGGTTGATGTTTATTTTAGTGTTGCAATTGCTATATTCTACATTTTTTCAAATAATGTTTATTAAAAGTTTGAATTAAACAATAAAAGATAATAAAGACAAAAAGAAAAAAATGCAAGAATATACAGTAAATGCATAAAGGGGGAAAAAAACCCTTCTCCCTAAGAAATGACTCCCCACCCTCTTCAGGGCAAGTAGACAGTAAACAATTCCCTAATCTCTTTACCTTCCCTTAGCTAACAGATATAAAACTCTTCATCTCATAACCTACTTCTTAACAACCGCACATCAAATAAGTAACTATGTCTCCAATCCAGTTACCAGCAAAAGAGCCAAGCAGAGGTCTAAATTTTTTCATCAACATAATGTAAAACTTAACATTCCACATCTTGCCTTGTAACTACAATATAGGCTGTCCTCGACTTATGACCACAATTGACCCCCCAAATTTATGTTGCTAAGCAAGACAGTTGTTATGTGAATTGTGCCCTATTTTATTACCTTTTTTGCCACAGTTAAATGAAGCATGTTAAGCGAATCATGCGGTCGTTAAGTGAATCTGGCTTTCAGAAGCCAGCTGGGAAGGTTACAAATGGTGATCACGTGACCCCGGGATAGTGCAACTGTCATAAATACATGCCAGTTGCCAAGCATCTGAATGTCGATCACATGACCGTAGGGATGCTGCAACGATCATAAGCATGAAAACCAATCATAAGGCACTTTTTTCAGTGCCATTGTAAGTGTGAATGGTCATGAAACAAACGGTTGTAAGTCGAGGACTACTTGTATACCAAAATATCATTTGAAAGTCAAGAAACGGTCCCAATATCCTAATATAAACAAAATTTAAAAAAAACCAAATTTAACGTGACAGAAGAAACCATTTTTCCTTCACAAAAGAGCAGCTCTAATCCACAACATTCCAAATAACATCTTATCCTCAAATGCATGCTACGCCTTAAATGATTACTTTACTCATTTTCAGAGGCAGGAAAAGAAATCCTTTCACAGCTGACTCATCTCACTGGAGCATTCTTCAGGACTCCTACTGGAATAGCTACCGGGTCTTATCAGCACAGTAGGTGGAGAAAATTCCTACATATTTGGGAAGATCTACATCAGATATTTGACTGCTGGCCATATTTTAAATCAGCTGCATCCCATCTTATTTTCCTCAAAGTTGCTGGGCCCAGGCAGAAGCCTCAGCAGAATCAATACTGTATATAGCTTACATTTTTAGGGGATGGATGAGATTGCTAATAGATTACAAGTGAGCAATGACATTTGCTAGCAAAGAACAATTGCCAATCAGAAACTGATGTATCAAGTTTAAGGATCAGTGATCTGACTTGGCGCAATAAACAGATGCAAATGGTATTTTGTAATGGGATCCTGAAAGACTCTAAACAAGCAGCAGCCGGTTCTTCTAGATCAGGCATGTCAAACTGCCGGCCTGCGGGCCAGATTTGTCACGATGAAACCGTGTCCACCCCATTGCTGGCAATGGGGAAAAAGTCGCGATACATCGTGCGACGTCATGCGACGTCACGAGTTTGACATGTCTGTTCTAGATCTTGTTAGCAATACTAAGAGGACAATTGAAATTGCTGGATGAACTATAATTGTAAAACAATTTTGTCTGTAAGATGCATGTATTCTTCCAAATGTTATTAAATTACGAGAAGTCCAAGCAAGGGGAAACTGGAAGAAAGAGAAACAAATTTAACTACATCATGAATACTAATACTTCCATGTCGGAAATACCCAAGTGCTTCCATGGCAGAAAGATTTGCCAGTGACATCATCATTGCCCTTATGTGTCCACGTGATGTTGTCCACCAAAGTGGTACCCATTTATTTACTTGCAGTTGCCCACTTTCAAACCGCTGGGTTGGCAGGAACTGGAGCAAGTGACAGGAGCTCACCCTGCCCTGAGCAGCAATGGGTCTTGAACGTGAGGCTGCAGAACATCAGCTCAGTGTTCTAATCTAACCTCATGAGCTACTATGTTCCTACTACATCATTTATATGCAGCATTGCTTTATTTTCCAGGGGTTTTTAATACAGAAAACAAAATCAGCAGTTTCTTATTTGATAGCATATTGATTCTCCCCAAATCTTAGCTAATTCTGTTTTTTTTGGGGGGGGGGAGAGGGGAGAGACTGGAACATAAGAAATAGTCCATGGAGAGGGAAATGACTTTTGTGTTATTACAGTCCTCAGTGAATGGCTGGGAAATCAAAAAGAAAGCTCTCCTCCGTTGCTGTACCTCACTGAAGTAAAACTGCAAATATGGCTCAGATTCACTGAGTTGCTGGAAGAGGCACTGGATGTTGTCAGGAAAAAGCTGAGTCCATATTTTTTTGATTTGCAAAAGAACATGGCGGGCAAAATTCTTGGTAAATTTTTCTCATTGTAGTCTTCTATATACAGTATATCTGAAATAAGAATTCCATTGGACATTGTAGACTTTTTGTCCGTACAAAAAATGCTCTCTCCTTAGCAATGGTGCTCGGTTTACTACAAAGATAGATGTCTGGGTTGACATTATATATGTGGATTTTTTTTGTGTTGTGTATTTGTGCATGGTTGCATGCCTTCAAGTCAATGATGACTCCTGGCAATAGCCTGGACATGCCCCTGCAGTTTTACCCTTGCATCTTTCTTAGGAGTGAGAAACAATGACTGGCCCAAGGTCACCCTGCTGGCTTCATGCTTAAGGTGGGACCTAAACTCATTTTTCTGTTTCCTAGCCTGGTATGTTAATCACTATAGCAAAGTGGATCTCTATTTACAGTATGTGTAAAATCTCATTGTTGAGTTTGATTTCTGTTCAAATACTCATCAGGTTCAATGCTGATTAGCTGTGTGCTAGATTTGACTAGATGCTGCCAACTAACTCTCTGTCTGGATCTGTATATGTGCAGGCGCAAGTAACTGGGTAATTAGAATATCCAAGTAATTTAGTTTACAAAGGGGTTTCCTATTTTTGTCCCCCTTTAAACAAAACTGTGAAATGACTAGATAGCAACCCTGTGACATCTTACAAGTAACCAATATTTTATACACAGGTCAAATCATGTTTAATACTGTGAATTGGTCCAACATTCAAGACAATGAAAGAATAATCCAGACTTTGGCTAATGGATTAGTTGAACTCTCAAGAGGAAATCACGTATGATAAGTGTAATCTTTTAAAGCACTATATATTAAAAATAAGTTGCAATGGCATCAGTTTTGACTTCAGGACTTATTTGGTGTCCTTCCATTGGCATCATTGTCCTATTTTAAGACAACTTGGTGGGTGCAGGGTTATATTCCCTTGTGGTGATCCTGAAAACCAGGAGTCGAAACCCTGGCTCTATGCACAAACTATCACTAAGAGGGCCACACCATTGTAATTCCCCTAGCACTACTGTTTCTTGCTTAGATACTGTATGTTCTTATTAGCGCTTAGGATAAAACTCTTTGTGAATTCACTTACTAGTCTGATAGTCTCTTTTTCGAAAAGCTTTTAGGGGGATGTGAGCAGAACAGGAAAAGGTAGCATCTATGTTGTCAAGTGACTGATTATAGCATCCATTTTAGCAGACCAGAAGCCTCCATCTCAGATCTACCTAATGTTTCTTACAGCTCTCTTCATAAGTTGATTATCTTCATAAATTGATTATACACAGAAGGCTATAAAGGAGCACAGAGACGATGCGTCTTGACTTCACATAGGATTCTGTGGTGCCTCCAGCACTATGGCATTTATGTACTCAGTGCCACAGCTACAAAGCAGCACCTGTATACACAGTCAGCTGTATGTACAAAAACAGAAGAACATGTTAATCTCTTCCTTTTTTTTTTTTGCACGCAGCTGTATTTTTAGATAACAGCTGAAGAGAGTTGTGCTTCTCCCGAGACTTAAGATGCATGCAGCGATAAGCAGGAAAGTGATTAAAAATGTTAGGAGTTCTATTTTTTGACACAATACAAATAGCTTTAATTTAATTTAGCTAATGAAGAAGAATTCTCTTTGTTGAGCAACCAACCAAAACGTATGTTCCTGTCCCTGGGCTCTTATAAAGGTCAATACAGTGCCCTGTTACAGTCTGCCTGAGAACAGTTGCTCTCAACTGTTGTTGCTTTGAGAACAAATTGCCACCAATATTCTGTTGCAGAGAAGGAGACTGCCAAAAGAAAGCTTCCTTAAACAGCTGAATGAAGCTGATCTGCCATATGTTTTTCCACATCTTTCGCATTGATGCTGCCTGCGCATGATAGCCACTATTCTTAGCATGGGACAATAAAGTATCAACTTGACCATTTTGTTAATGTCGTGTTTTTTCCACTGCCTTTCTTTATGTTTTGTGTGGGAGAAATTATTCAAGATGAATTAGCTCGTGAAAGTGTAGAATCATGCCATAACTTTTTACTCTGGTACAGCTTGGACCTAATTGATTAAAATGAAAGGCAATAGTTGAAACATTATCTGTACTTCCTCTCTTACTAGTTGATGTGGCAATGGCTGTATCTGCGTGAAAGGAAACAATAGGCATATTCTTTTACGCATTTATTTGTATGATTTTTTAGGAAAACCGCCTGGAATTTCTATCATCTTTCCTCATGAAGAAATGTGAGAATGAAGAACTTGCAAACCAGGATTTCTTGACTGAGGGCACTTCGGAATCAGGGCTTGTACTTAAGGTACAAAAGAATTCAAGTGTTGGGTTTTCACTACTCCTGTAATTTTGTTTGTCCTTATTCTGTTCAAACCCTTTTTCTTGACAAAGTGAAAGATAAGTGGTTTGTCATGAGATTTGAGGTCTTTGACGGATCATTACTTGAATTTTTTTTTTATTAAGATGGTATTTTAGAATAATTTTATATCCTAGTATTGAAAGGAAGGTAATATGTAATTTTATTAAAAAGATATTTGCACTCTAATTCTCTGCTTCAGAATTTATAAAATTGAACTCATGTATGATGTATATGTTTCCAGCATGGAAACTTTAGTGATTAAAGTGGCCTATTTTAGCTGGTGCTGTGCAAGCCAAAGTTATTTCAGTAGGGGTCCTTGGTGCTCTCTGGGCTTCTTGTTTTCTTGCAGATGTTTCATTACCCTAATTAGGTAACATCATCAGTGCTAATACTAGCTTATTTCAATAGCTCATGCAAACAAATTTCTAAATGTGAAATAGCATATTGAAAATAGCATCTTAATAGCATATTGAGATGAATGAACTGTATAATGTCTTACTATGAGAACAAGTAACTAGCAGTACTATACATTTTGATTCAAAAATAAAGCCCAATAAAGTTTAATACCAGGTAAGCATATGTAGTGCTGAATCTGAAGAGGTTTTTGAAGTAATAGCAATATGCTTAAATCTCCTTATATATATGAATATATCTGGATATGGATATACGAAAAAAAGCTTCTAAGTTGCATAGCCAGAAATCAGATATAAATGCACCGCATCAGGCTTTAGATAGGTAAAATAAGCACGTTTTTTTTTTTAAAAAAAATTGTTGTTTCTCTCTTTGACATTTAGATAGATGAACCTCAAGGTGTGATAGAGAAGCGCCAAAGCTTTGCCAGAGAACTTCTCTTAAGTGAGAGAAACTATGTCCACATTCTGGAAATTGTGAAAGATGTCTATGTAAAACCATTAAAAGCAGCACTGGCATCCCATCAGACCATCCTAAGTGATATAAGTATTCAGCTCATCTTTTCTGATGTCTTGGACATTTTACAAGTAAATAGGTATATTTCATTGACTCTTTTGAACCATTCCACTACTAAAAAGTTTTAGAGATAAAACAAAGCCAATCCCTAGCAACCCCACTCTAATAAATACTCAAGGGTTTGGGAATATAGTAATTTGAAGTGATTAATAAATTTCCTGTAGACATAATTTCTTTCTAATCTGGATGGATGGATGGATGGATGGATGGATGGATGGATGGATGGATGGATGGACTTTTGAGTCAGTGTTTGCTCTTGATGACTGCCTGGAGAAATTTTCTTGGCAAGTTTTTTCAGAAGTGGTTTGCCATTGCCTCTTTCTAGGCTTAAGAGTGAATGGCCTAAGATCATCCATCTGCCTTTGTGCCTCAGGCAGGACTAGAACTACAATCTCTCAGTTTCTAATGTCTTAACCGCTATCTCAAACTGGAACTCTGTGTTCCAGTATGGTTAACTAACTGCTTTCTAGTCTGGTTTGTTAAAGAGTCATAAAGAGGAATATACATTGAATATGACTCCAAGGGTTTGTTTTCAGTGAAAAGCAGGATTGAAAGCTGGACATTTCAGATCAGGAGCAACTGTGTCAATTTCCAAATGAAAGAAAGTAATAGGGGCACTATTTTCTGTACAAGTCAAACCCCAGCTCTGGTTCCAGTTTTGAGCGCCTCCATTTTGGAACACCTTAAGAATAATTCAGAGAAATTTGGATAAGTATGGAGAAGTTCAAGAAGAACAATTAGAAGACTGGAAACTAAAATCTGTGCAAAACACATTGGTACAAGTGAAGGATTCTTCTTGTAGTATACTGATGCAGTCGTATCCTTTGGGAAGCTTGGTACAGCTGGGCTTTCTCTGGTCATCACTACACAAATAAGCACCTCACTTTCACCAGCAGTCCCAGCACTGCAGAAATGTGTCCATTCAAGCAAACAACCTGAGAAAGCAAGCCATCAGTGCAAGCCCACTGACTTTTGACAGGATTGCCTCGACACTTCAAACAGGAATCTTCACTTGCATCAATGTTCTTCACAAAATGATTTTTTTCCAAACGGTTTGCGTAGCTCAATAACTAGGTTTTATGTGGTTATGAAAGCACTTCTCCAATACCTGGAGGGGTGAACACACAGACAAAGTCCAAGTCTGATCTCTATAATCTTAGAATGTGGAAAGAAAAATGGATTCCATCTGAATGTTGAATAAACTTCCTAATGGCAACAGCAGATCAACACTGGAACCAGTAAGGGAGATGGTGAGCTCCCCTTTACTATGAATGGCTAGCTATCAGTGATACTTTAATTTGGATTTCTGCACTGAGGATGGGGTTGGATTTGTTCATTTAAATGGCTGCTCAAATTATAGGATTCTATGGTTCCCCACAGTGGGTGGCAAAGCAGTAATGTACTATATTATAATGTTTAGGATGAACATTTGAGAAGTATCTCTTCCGTCCTTTGTAAATTGGTTGGCAGGGGCTTTCCCAGTTTTGATAATGAGATAGATAAATAGCTAGAGAGATAGATTATTCTTGACAGTATTCTTGATAAGTACTTTGCCACTGTTTTTTTCCAAGATGTTTTTTTTCCAGTTTTTAAATCTAGCCTACAGCCCTGAGATTTCTTAGTTTCCTTTTCTGGCACTCAAGCCTGACTCTGATTAGGTTAGCCAGGTGCTGCTGGCTTATAGAACATCAACTATTGCAGACAAGTCTGGATTAGCAAGCATTCAACTTCATGCAGGTGATTTAACAAAATTTCCCAGAGGTAACTGCCTGAATGCTTAAAGGTGTTTTTTTCAAATGTGGGTCAGGCAAAGTATCAAATTTGCTAAACGTTATACAAAGCTGAGTTTCTTGTTTATATTTGGATAGCTCTAATATATAATCACTTGTAGTAATTCTAGATACATGGAATCACTTGGTATAAGGCAGGCTGCAATAACTGGATACTGGGGATTTTCTTAATAAAATATGCATTGAACAGCAGCCATTAGAAGGGCCAACTATTTTTCAAGGGACAGATTCTATTCTACCTCTTTTTCAGATTTCTACTTGGGTATGTGCTGAATTTATCAGTTTTTAGGAACAGAATATTTTAAGGTTGGCCAAGCTTACCTGTGGTAAATTAATATCACAAATTAATAGTTTTATGTAGCCTTACTGGGATATTTTCTACTAGAGTAGAGACAGACACATTAAAGGTAAGCCTTAAGTCTTGCCTCATTGAAACTGGGAGGGAGATAACTCCTTAGATGTAGAAACATAATGTTGTCATCACCAGCTGTTGCAACTTGTCTGCAACTAGATAGAAAGATAGAAACACCCTTCTATGTCTGTTCCAAATACAGGTGTTTTTTAGCTGAGTTAACACGAAGGTTTAATGAATGGAGCCCAGCCCAAAACGTAGGAGACATATTCATTAAGTTGGGCCAGCAGTTTCAAACATATACAAATTTTTTCAACAATTATGCAGTAATTCTAAAAACTACAGATAAGGTAAGAATGCACTAATCTCCCAAGATCTGGTTTACTCTTATCTATAGGTTTATTTTATTAAACATACTCTCACTAATTCTTTTAAAATACATGATGGGCATTTCCCTTTTACCACTTTCAAATGGTGCCGGTGATGGAAGCCTTTGGTTTTGGCTAGGATGCATTACAACAGGTTTAACTGGAATTCTCATCTCAATGGAGCCAGAAAATAGGTTTGAAACTGCCTACAATCATGCCTGGAGGATTTTCAGATTCCTCTCCCTTGAGGCCAGCATGTATTATGGCAAAAGGTTTTTGCTGTTCAGTTGTTTCTTTTTAATCTGTTCATTTCTAACCTGATATCAGTGTTTGTGTTTTCCCAGTGATTCAGTCTATCTCTCTGGATTAACACTGCTTCCTTCTTCTCATTCCTAACCTATTTTGATATTTCAATTAATTTTACTATGTAGCCCATCTCCCCGTTTTTAGATAGCTGTGCTTGCCTTCATCTAGTTACAGGGGCGTCAAACTGCCGGCCCGCAGACCGGATGCGTCATGCCAAAACCACGCCCACCTCATAGCCAACAATGGGAAAAAGTCGCGATATGTCATGACACGTCGCGTAACGTTGCAAGTTTGACACCCCTGATCTAGTAGAAGCCAGTTGCTATTCATTGTGGGTTTTCCATTCCACACAATATCAATTGATGAAGGGACAGTTTTGGCAGGATTGTTTCAGATTTATCTCCAGAATTGACACTTGGCTTATTTTAGCTATATGGGATATCAAATTACACAATAAGGAAATATAAGGACAACAATACCTGCCGTATCAGATGCATAATCAATATTGTGAATCAGAATAGAGCTGAAAGGGACCTTGAAGGTCTTCTAGTCCAGCCCCCTGCTCAAGCAGAAGATCCTATACCACTTCAGACAAGTGACTGTCTTCTTAAAAACCTCCAGTGATGAAGCACCCATAACTTCTGAAGGCAAGCTGTTCCACTGATTAATTGTTCTTGCTGTTAGGAACTTTCTCCTTAATTCCAGGTTGCTTCTTTCCTTGATTAGTTTCTATTGTTTCTTGTCCTGTCCTCTGGTGCTTTAGAAAATAAATTGAACCCCTCCTCTTTGTGGCAGCCTCTCAAATACTGGAATCATATCCCCCCTAGTCCTTTTTTTCTCTAGGTTAGCCAAACCCAAATCCTGCAACTGTTCTTCCTATGTTTTAATCTCCAGGCCTTTAATCATCTTAGTTGCTCTTCTTTGTACTATCCTCATTATTTGTATTATCCTTATTATTCCTGCCTGTGACTGGATGGCCTTAACTAGTTTAAGCTGTTCAGTGAATTAATGGTATCTATTTTCATTAAATAAAAAAATGTTCCTTACAATCACAATCATACACAACCACAGATTAGGGCACAAATTACAGTTTAATGCCTAGTTTCAAGTTGGCACAAAGTCACATGCAAACCATGGCTGATGGCAGAGGGTTTTTGTTCTTGTCTGATCTGCCTTCCCAGAGAATTCCTAAACTTCTCAAGCCAACTTAGTTCTCACCATTGTGTTGATTGGGAATGATGGGCTTTATAATCCAACACATCTGGGTGCAGACTGGTGGAGAATGGTGTAGTAGTCCAAAAATAGAGGGATGCACATCATTGTAGAAAACTCTAAAGGGAAAACAAAGAAGGCAAAATGTGTTGGGAACTTCATCAAGGCAATAGTCTGAATACATTTTCTGCTGCAGCTACCATCATGGTAATCCAAACCTTTTGTTTCCATAGTGCCGAGAAACTATTCCAGTATTCCGTGCTTTCTTGAAGAGATATGATCGGACGGTTATTACCACCATGAGAAGGTAACTTCATAAGGGAAGGATGGTCATAGCCCTGGGAGCAACACATTGGCACATGTCTTCTTTTATTAAATGTTTAAATATATCTTTTGTGAGGTTGAATCCTGACAAAGAGGGAGTCCTAGTAAATAAGGAAAAAAGCAAAGTTTGGCTCAACCAAATAATGCTTTTCAGAAAATTGGTTCAGGAGCATTCATGCAGGACTGGATTAATCTATAAAGTTCTAGAAAGACAAAGACCGAGAACATTCTTGATCTGCCTCTGTCAGCTATAATCCTTTGACTGAACTGGAACAATTTGCAAAGGAAGTCCAGGTAGCCAGAGTACTGCCAACCCTTCAGCCATGTTTTCTTCACAGGATAACATTAGTACAGTACATTCTTTTTTCGTCTAGAACATGCACACTATTCATTTGCCTTGGCAAATTTGTATATCTGCTTCCATATATGAGGAAAGGAAACATTCTATGAATGCATAGAGGGTAGGAGCAGAAGCACTACTAATTTCTTTCCATTTCATATTCTTATCTTCTCTGGCCTGCAAAAAACTATTTTAACTCTAGGTTTTGGCTCATAATTGAATGAACATAAACACCAGCTTCTTCCTTCTTCTTTCTTTTTCTTTCATTGGATACCTGGCTCAATGTATTTTGGGAGTGTCCCACACCCAGGAAGGAAGGGAAATGATAAGATGGGAAAGTAGCTGATATGATAGTTTGGCCTATTGGCTAAACAAACTGCACATCTGGTGCTGAGGTCTTTTAAAGTTGTGATGATGGCGGCATTGTAAAGTAAAATAGAGTAATCTATCAAGCATGCAGATCATAGCAGTTTATAGATGAGATTTTAAAGCAGTTAACTTACTTAAAGAGTTAGTTGACTCTAAAATTTAAGTCTCTTTGCAAATTATTTTGATTGTGCTTATTTATCATTTTTCTAATCAATGCATTAAATGTATATGTTGGCTGTGTAGCTTACAGGAACTTCTGCTCTGCCCTTCTAAAAGGGTCAAAGAATACATCACTCTCCTCTATGCTCTTAGACTTCACACTCCTCAAGAACACACTGACCACGAAGACTTGGCCACTGCAATTAAACAAATGAAACAACTCAAAGATTATATAGACCAGGTCTGTCTTCTACATTTGCTTCAGCATGATGATTATTTTGCACCCTTTTGGATGAATGGGATTTATTGCATGCTACACGGAATATCCTCTAGTTTAATTATCCCAATGGGGATTATGAAATAGGGGTTCCTCTTCCTTTAATGCAATGGGATTCGTGGTTTCAGTCACATTCTGGAGCTGCTGTTAGTTGCAAAAGGAAAAACACAAACACAAAATAACTATAGGATATTTCCTCTGTGGCTAATAGGAGGTCAAACTAGCAAACTGGGCTGGGGAATTCTAGTCACAGCTGTTCAGTTTTACATCTTTGTAGATTCTTCCAGATATGCTCACAACTCAAGTTTAGACAGACAGCAACTAGAGAATTTATTTTTCAAGCAATGGTAATAGCCAGCAGAATTCCTATCGCAGGGAGAATTACCTAGTATCAACTTGATTATTCTTCAGAACATTCTCCAACCCATTAAATCGATTGCAGACCAGGTTTATCTTTCTCCGTGTTAACGGCTGATCTGTCACAATGCCTGACTTTGGGGGAGTGATCTAAAATGGTTACTTTCTCACTTAAATTTGTGGTTAAATTGCTCTATGCGACATAAAATTAAAGCCTGTTCATTATGTCTTCTGACTGCTATCTGCTGTTCATGAACAGTATGTGCTTCTTTGTCCTATATAGCGGCCTTCACGATCTTTCCATTTTTTTTATTGTACATAAGTACTGCTCTTTCTTAAATTGTTTGGATTTGGGGGCAGGCCTTAGGATACTTGGAGAGATGCCATTGGTATGGGGGCCAATCTAAAGTCTAGCAGGTAATCTGCTGGTGAGATTTATACAGTTTTTTTATTGGCATTTGGATTGTCACTTTGGTGATGCAATTTTTGGTTTATATGTTGTTGATTTTTTTAATATGCATACCACTGTTTCCACTGCTGATAAGAATATCTTTTTCTCTTGTGAATTTGATTCTGTTAAAGATGTTATTGATTGTGTTGCGTTTTCCAAGTAACCTTTTTTTATTATGACAAGTATTTTGTTACACTTAACAGAATCTGCATTTTGGATTGTATGTGTGGGAGGGCAATTGCTTGCAGATGTTGCATGACTGTTTTTTTTGCTATGAATCCAGAGATAGGTGATTTCCATAAGGGTTCCTCTGATTAGTTTGTTCTGTCCATCAGAATGAAAGCCAGTCTAGAGGCAAAGATCTTTAGGTTTCATGATTATATTTATTAAATGTTTATATGCTTGGCAAGGTTTGGTACTTTATATAATAAGGCTTGAATGGCTGATTTTGGATTCATAGATGTGTAGGGTGTTCTGTCATGAAATGAAGTAATAATTTCATCTTTCTCAATTGTTATGCCTTAGATTTTCTGAAGACCCTGCAATAGTGACTTAATTGTATGTTTATTCCTATTTATGCAATTTCCAATTTTTAGGGTGAATCCTAAGTTGTATGTTGTGGTTTCAGGTAGCAATACAGTTAGATAGCTGATATGTTTCATTTTCCTGTTTTGGGAGCATCTATTTAAAAAAGGGACAATGGACCCACAACTTTTCATATGCTATTCTTCTTTTTTAAGCTGTCCTCTGTTACTTATGTCATTGACAGTTTTCTTGGTTTGCTTTCCAGTCTCTTTTAGGTTTGTATATTTCTACTATGTAATATATTTATGATTGCACGATACAGTAAATGCAACAAATGTGCAAATGCTCAGTTGTTCATCTGGTACACTTTCATCATACAACTGTTAATTTTTACTTGGAGAGTCTACCCTGTAAGACATAAATCATCAGAACTTGTCTGAAGGCAGTCTGCTCCCACAAAAGGCTACTTAGGTGTTTTAAATTTATGCAAAAGTTTTCAGACAGGTGACTCTTTATATGAATATTGAAATGAGAGAAATTACATTTTCTTGGCAGACAATAATTTGAGCTGATCTGTTTCAGAAGGTAATGTTTCGAGGGATTATAAAATAGGTTCTCAAAGTTTAATCCAAACATACATAACTGATTCACTGTGCTAATTTGGACTTCACTTTTTTTAAAAAAAAAAAATAACTTCATTTTTTTTAAAAAAATAACATACAGTTGTTTCATTTGTTTTTTAAAGAATATCTTCTTTTTTATAATTTATTAGTTTTCTAATTTTACAACTAAGTATTTAAAAAGCAACGTGGTGACTGGGTTAATCAATAACATACATAAATATTTAGTACAAATCTCAAGTTACAACATCAGATATTTCCTCTCTTTTTCCTTTACTATCTCATATTAGGCTAATACAGTTCTTATTATTATCAACTAAGTAAAAACATTCTTATTACATTTATCAATAATTTTTAGCTTATGCATTGTGTTTACATTCAATTCTTATATACAATCAATGTCCTGTTATTGCTTTTTTTCCCAAGCTTTAATTTCCAATCAATATTCAAATTAACATTTGATATTTATAATTTCCAAGCTTTAGGTCACCAAAGTTTTCCTTATCTCAACTTCCTCCTTTTTCCCTTTTCATAACAAAATTTAATATTCTAAGTATACATCTTATCTATTTGAATATAGTCTTGTTCTGTTTTCTAAAGGTTATCTATTTTCAACTATATTAAACCATGTAATTAATAATACAGTATCCTCTCTAATAAATCAAAACCATTATATGTATTGTCTGGGTTAACCAATAAATCAATAGTATACATAATTTTTTTCTTTTAGGCCTAAATTTTTTAAATTTCAAATACTCCCTCTCTTTTTCTGGTAAACTCTATTATCTCATATTAGGCAAACAGAATTCTTATTTTCAACTGATTTCCAAATATTTTAAATTATGTGACCAAAATTTCCCTTATCTCAACTTCTCTCTTTTTCCCTTTACATACCAAAGTCTATTAGTCTTGTTACACATCTTAGTTATTCAATTATAATGTTACTTTATTGTCTAAAAATTATCTATTTTCCACCATATTCAACCCTCTAATTAGTAATATGAAATCCCCTCTAATAAATCAAAATCCTAATTTTCTTCAGCCTTACTCTGACTTTCTTCCTTTGCCAACTAGCCTTCCATGTCAGTGCTTTTAAATCATCAAATAGTTCTTCCTCTATTATTATATATATTATTTGAAATAAGAAAGGCCGTTTGGTTGCAGTTTTTTTGGAAGAACAAGCCCATTTGCATTCATTAGTTCACCTCCCTATTACTCCAATTTCCCACAATTGTCCTGATAGGTTTATCTTCCATTCAATCTGTTCTTCTTCTTTCTCCTTGAATTTCTTCTGATTTATGTAAAAAATCTTTTCCATTTTCAGTGTTGTCACTCCCTTTTCTGATTTTTCCGTTGGCTGGAATTGAGTCTTCTGTCTTAGTGTTTAGTTGTTCCACTTCTCCTGTTATTTTCTGCATTGTTAGTTCTTTAGTTGTAGTCAAGATCCTTTATGTTGCATCTTATTTTGTTATAAGCTGAAAGAATGGTTTCATTTATTGATTTCAACATGGAAAGGATTTTTTCCTGATCTTCATCCATAGTATTTTGATAGTGTATTAAGTTGAAGACTTTAGAATCAAACGTTAAAAATAGTTTTTTGTTTTTTATAACTGGGTATGGGACATCTATTTCACGTGTTATAGGTGATCTTTATATTGGAAATTGTTTGTCAAGTAAGAATTTATAGTCCAAGATATTCCAGCATCTCGTGTAATAACAAATGCTTCTCATGTAGAGAAATAGGAAAGCAATTGCCATGTATAGCTCTGAAAGTCAGTAAAGGTTTACATTCATAGTTCAAACAGGCCAGATATGCTGCCCAAAGTTCCTTCTTTTCAGCTGAGTTTTTCACAGGTGGTATCTGTCAAGGTCAGAAAAGTTTTTTCTAGAATCTGGGCTTCAAGCCAAGTCTCTTTTAGGCAATAACAAGTTGTAATACCATACTTCACCACAAGATGTCACCGATACCATTTAAAGCTTTTTAAGTCCAAAGTTTTTATGATAGTTTTTCAAGTTTTATTTCTTTTTTTTTTAGATAAAAACAAACGTCTCCAGTAAGAATAGGAAACTTTTAGTCCCCAACTTTCAAAAGCATATACATCCAATTAGATTAAAATTGTTCTTATAGTTGCTCCCCTGGGTAGGTAGTTGCCGCTTTTCTTAGAGGATGGGGTAGAAATTCCCTTCCCTCTCTCCTCACAGGGGGAAAATACTTTGGGCAGCTTTTACAGGAAAAGATACTTAAAGTCTTAAAGAGAAGATCAGATCTCACCCAGTTTCATCCAAATTGCTTTAAAGGTGCTTGGTGATAATTTTGACTCCACCTGTTAGCAGTTTAGTGATGAGCCGTATTGCTATGGCTAGTCTTTCTCACGCAGGTTTGGAGAGCTGCCCTGGATCAAACGGAAGGGCTGTCACCTTCCCGCGATCAAGCGGGGGTCCCCTCCTTGCTCGTCACCCCTACAGGGCGACTTTTGACCCTTTCCAGAGTCCCCCAGCAGGACAAATTCGGTCACGGAAGACGGAGCTCACTTTCCTGCGTCTGCAGGAGCCGTGATGGCAAACCAGAAGTCCAAGAATATCTTCTTGATTATGTAGCATAGCCCTCTCAAGAGATCCTTGCAATAACTTAATTCCCATATATTAAATTTTCTAGTTGAAACTGAATGTGGGCAGAAATGATCTGCTATTGAGTGTGCAACGGTGTATCCAAGGAGGACCTGTAAGTAATCAGCTTTGTTTATATGAACCAAAATGCCCAAACAAGACATTGTTAGAAGATGTTTCCATAGGATGAGTTTCGTGTGTTTAACGATAAATGACAAAGATAAAACCAATTGATTTACTCAAAGAAATATATTTTGGTAGAATGATAAAGAAAAGTAAATGCCTTTTATGAATGAGGAAGTTGATTGGAAAAGTATTAAAAGTGCAAAATGGGAATGTGTCAAATACAAGACAGTATGTACAATAAAACCATGAAAATAAAAATTATAGCAAGTAAAACACAGTGGCTGACTTATTAGATTTGACTAGACTAAAATCCCAGTCAAGCAAAGAGCTGTGTTATTCTATAGTAATTAGTGTCCTTGACTAGGAATAAGGTTTCTATAGTATTTGACTCATCTTCAAAATTTGAGCTCATCGTGATAGCCCAGCTGCAAGGTGGATTGGGTTTGAGTTACTGTTACCAGTTCATTGTGGTAGGTAAACTACAACTGTTGTGCCAGCCAAAACTAAGGAATAGGTCCCCAGGCCACAGCCTCTACATGCTGATTTAGCAGGAATTGTCAACACAAAAGTTCCTTTCCCAACTCAAGGATTAACCTATTCTAGGAGATTGTGATCTTGGCAAGAACCATTAGGTACAATGTTAACTACTCTGATGTTTACAAACACAAGCAAATATCTATTGTCATGGTTTGGATGTTGTTAGTTTGAGTTTGTTTCTCCCTATTTCAGACCCTAATTATCTCAAGAAGCCAGTACCACTGGACTTGGAAATTGGAATATACTGTATGAGACAGCCCATGGATGGTTGGATTGATGTATTGATTTATTGCCCATGGATCAGATGCTGGATCCTTCACTGTAACCATCCATTGGTGAATCAGAAGCAGCCATTTATATATTTATTGGAGTGTTGTCGATATGTTTTTAAATTGCTGTTTGACACCTACAATCATGATATTGAAATGGGTGACCATACAGATTGAAACAAGAAATAGAGTAGTCAAAGAGTACTTTCGATGTTTAAACATTTTAGAAGTCTGTGATTTATAAATATTGCAATTAAATGCAAAATAGCCAAAAAATAATGAATCAATTTGGTAACAATAATTTTTAATGTTCTAATTCACAGCAGTTGTTGAAAGCCAGTAGATATCTAATTATGGTGCAAGATGTGGCCCAGCTAAACTGTTCTAAGAGAACGAATTTGCCGTTCAGGTCAGTAAAAATATTAAGGTTAATATAAACAAAATGAGGTCTAGCATTATAGAAATGTTCCTCCGTTTGTTTCTAAAGGTTTTCTTCTTTCTAAATAGAGACCATGAAGATCATAAATGCTGAATGTATTGAATTATTTATTGTGTAAATTATGTGTCATGTTGCATACTTTCCTTGTTAGAGTGCAATGAATCTTTTTTAAAAAAAGAAAAGAAAAATACAAATATAAACATAAACACAAGTATATAAACACAGTTATAAAACCCTACAGTATATCTCTGGGTAGTTTTGAGATTGCTTTTCCATAGAGATTCTGCCCACCCAATTCAAGGGCACAAAGAGTGCCTACACCAACAGCTGAAGGTTCCCATCCTCAAGGGATCTGAAAGTGGGTATTCTCTTCAGGGACTCCCTTATTCTGGAGCAGCTTGGTCCCCAATGCAAGGGTAGCTTCCCTTCCCCTGTCCTTCTGGAGGCTCATAGGAATTTGGCAGATTTGAAAACCCTTGGGACTTAAGAACCTCCTGTTGCTAGAAATATTAATCCTAATTTTAAATCTACTTTTTATTGCATTTTTCTTATTGTATGTTACTATTACCAATGCATTAGCTGCAGCTGTTGCTTGTGTGTAGCGCTTAGAGTAATCTTGACTGAAATGGTTTACAAATTTATAAATAAAAATATTTTAAAAAATTAAATATAGGGCGACAGCTAACAATGATATAATTATATCATTGGGCAAAACCATACGTGCGCCGCTAACATTCCAAAAATGTACAGCAAATCAGCCTTTTTAATGAGGTCCTTGCTGAGCTTTGAGTTTGAGCAGTTAGGGAAATATTTCATGCATATTGAATTGGATGAAACTTGTTAACTTCTGTATTTTATTGTAGTGATCCAAAAATTTTGTGTTTTGTGTTGTCTTATACTTTTTAGTACACTTTTATAAATGTTCACTATAATGCATTTTAAAAAAATGTTTACTGCATTTGAATGTTCTCCTGCGGCTGTTAAATTATTTATAAATTATATTAACACGGATAACGAAACTAACCCTTCAATTTTCCAGGTTGTATGAGCATACCCACGATCTTAGACTTTTCCTGTTCAATGATGTCCTTGTTATTTCACAACGCAACATCTCCTACAAGCCCTTTGAACGAATCCCCAAGGTCACTTACCAGTTTTTGGCTACAACAATGCTCCATCAGCTCCAGATTGAAGACATTCCAGATTCTAAATGTATGCTTTTCATTACTCTAAAATAGTAAAAAAAAATGTTGAATGCATTCATAGAATTTTTTAAAAAATATATTTTTTAATTACAGCAATAATATTGTTACAAAATCTCAGAGACATTCTCAGAATCAAACTATGTGATACCTGTATATCTGGCAACTTCCTGCAATTTTCTTGACAAGATTTTCAGACGCGCTTTGCCCTTGTCTTCTTTTTAGGGCTGAGAAAGAGGGGCTGGCTCAGGGTAGCACAGCTGGCTTCCTGCCTAAGGAGGAATTAAAATTCCCAGTCTTCTAGTTTCAAGTCTGATACCTTAACCACTGTACCAAACTGGCTCACTCTTCTTTATTACATACAACACTGCTTTTGAAAGTAGGCTTATTCTGACTTGAGCATTTAGGAAAGAAAGATCCTTGACTCAATTTTGAAGAGAAAGGTTTGCTTTTACCAAAGATTACAGAAGCAAAGCTGGATCTGAATATCCCCATGCAAAGCCTGCGTTTTTCCCTCTTCCCTGACCCTCCTGTTTTGACCACTCCATCAGTGTCCAATGATATTCGAACTAGATATTTTGGGAACGCCTTTGAGGTTTGGCACCTTTTTGGTGGAGTTTTGCATTCTGTCCTCACAGCTCTGTCCTTGATTGGCCAGTCTGTTCCAGATTGACACCTATGGTTCCTCCCACCCTACCATTTCCCCACCTACCTCTCCAATCTCGCCTTTCACTGCGTTTTATGGCAGAATGCTAGCGAAGCGGAGCATGCTGAAGATGGCAGAACCTGATGTTCTTGCAGGGTTTGTTTTTTTTATGTAGCAGGAGAAACTCTGTTTTAATGATCTCCAGCCCACTTGCCCAATGGGGGTGCAATTTCTGAAGTGTATTTGCTCACCTAAGAAACAAATTGGGAATTTGAGCCTCAGTTGAAGGTCAAGATGGCAATTTGTGGCAGTCTGCTTGAAGCTCCACACCCTTGTCTGCATGTCTGATGTTGATGCAGATACAAAATGGGTGGGACTTCGGTGATGCTTTCATGATGACCATCTTGACTTGAGTTTAATCACATCCTCCCTCCACACCGCCCCCACAGATACTGCTGATTGAGACTTAGGGTGGTGTTTCTTTGGTCAGCGAACAATGGAGCTGGCAGGAGATGCTTAATTCCCACTTCCTTGAAAAGACAGGATCCAGGGATTGCAAAAGCTATGCCCTTTAGGAAAAGGAAGACAGTATTTTGAGTGGATAAAAATAGTAATGCTCTGTTATGTTCATGAGGATGCAATATAAAAAAGCAGAGGTATTCTGTAACTCTCCTTGTGAAAAGCTTTTTGGGGAAAAAAAATGGGACCGGATTTTCTGCTTCACTTCAGATGCCCTGTTTTGTTTGCCTTCTCCATTGGCTGTGTACGGATAGTCCTCAATTTACAACCATTTGCTTAGCGACCGTTTTAAAGTTAAGTTACAAAGGCAATGAAGAAAAATGACATACAACCAGTCCTCGCACCTATGACCGTTGTAGCATCCGCATAGTTGCGTGATCAAAATTCGGGTGCTTGGCAACTGCCATGTATTTACAACTGTTGCGTCATCCTGGAGTGATGTAAATTTCAACCTTCTCAGCCACCTTCCAACAAGCAAAGTCAATGGGAGAAGCCAGATTTGCTTAACAGCTATGTGATTCACTTAACAACTGCAGTGATTTGTTTAACAATGGTGGCCAAAAAGGTTGTAAAATCTGGCACGGTTGACTTCACCACACCACAACCTTGCTTAGTTACAGAAATTCTGGTCCAGTTGTGACTCTTAAGTCGAGGACTATCTATAATAGAATATTCCCTCGCCAGTGTACAGGTAGTCCTTGACGTATAACAGTTCGTTTAGTGACCATTCAAAGTTACAACAGCACTGAAAAAAATGATTTATGACTGTATTTCACACTTATGACCACTGCAGCATTCCCATGATGGTCAGGTGATCAAAATTCAGATCAAGTTGGCAACTGACTCCTATTTATGACGGTGGCAGTGTCCCAGGGTCACCTTTTGTGACCTTCTGACAAGGAAAGTCAATGGGGAAGCCAGGTTCACTTAACAACTGTGTTAGTAATTTAACAACTGCAGTGATTCACTTAACAACTGTGGCAAGAAAGGTAAAAGGGGGCAAAACTCAAGAAATGTCTCCCTTAGCAACAGAAATTTTGAGCTCAATTGTGGTCCTAAGTCAAGGACTACCTGTAGTTGATGGGAAGAGCTGTTAGTATGCAGTTTTTAGGAATTCCAGTTCCCTCGCCTTTCTCTTACTGTGACTGTTGTTTTTCTTTTCCCTATTGATGCAGGAGAGAAAATATCCAAACATTTTCACTCTGAATCTGCTGTAAGTCTCAGCATTTGCTGCTGGGGTGGCAGATTTATCAAAATGAGTGTATAACATTGGAGTGGATGCTAAATCATATCCAAATCCCTCAAGGTTTTATTTGAAATTCTGGAAGTCTATTTAGAATACAAACTAGCATGTGTACCCAGACACAAAGAAAGAACGGAACAATACAAATCAAACTGATGGTAGTTAAAAACAACTGCTCAGTAATGTAATGAATGCATTCATTATCCTCGTTCTGGTTCCCTTAGGACAGGGGTAGGCAACCTTGGCTCTTTTATGACTCATGGACTTCAACTCCCAGAATTCCTAAGCCAGCATGGAAACCTCTCCCTTTCCCCTCAGCATGGCTGGCTCAGGAATTCTGGGAGTTGAAGTCCACGAGTCATAAAAGAGCCAAGGTTGCCTACCCCTGCCTTAGGATATATAAGTCATTGACTGAGATGGGTGGCTATACAAATTGAAGAAAGAAAGAAAAAGAGAGAGAGAGAAAGAGAGAGAGAGAGAGAGAGAGAGAGAGAGAGAGAGAAGGAAAGAAAAAAAGAAAAAAGAAAAAAAGAGAGGGAGAAACAAAGAAAGGAAGGGAAGGAGGAAGGAAGAGAAAAAGAAAGAAAGAGAGAAACAGAAAGAAAGAGAAAGAAGAAAGAAAGAAAGAAAAAGAAAGGAAGGAAGGAAGGAAGAAAGAAAGAAAGAAAGAAAGAAAGAAAGAAAGAAAGAAAGAAAGAAAAAGAAAGGAAAGAAGAAAGAAAGAAAGAAAGAAAATTTTTGGCTCAAGGATAAAAGTCTGAGTCTTTTATAAAATTGCACACTGTGGGCAAAGTAATTTGACCAAAACTATTCCAGTGAAAGCAAAAATATTTGTATCAAATATACCTAAAGATGGATCCATCCCGACTACATTTTAGAAGTAGAGCCAGAATTAAGTCAAACAACTAGAAGTCAATAACCACACAGTCATCCTTACTAAAGATATCAAACTAAGTCAGATTTAAGCTGAACACTTAAAATTTAACAATTGGCAAGTTGTCCTGCAGCGAATTGGCCACAGTGAATTGGCCTAGCCCCAACCTGACAGTGTGACTCAAAAATCATATGGAATTTATGTAATCCATTTAGAATTCAAATATCTTGGACGATGACTGGAAAATTTTTTAGAAGGGTTTTATTGGACTGAGATTTATAAAATCTTAAAGCTTCTTGTAACAGTCTTTACCACTTTGATGGGGAAATGGTCATTTCTAAAGATAGAGAGTAGGTTGAAGGGTATTCAGTTGGCAAGAGGATCTAAGGCCCTAATGTTGTGGTCCTATACAGAAGCAAGGAAGGCGATTGTTTTGTAAGCTGCACCCAGTTTTACAACCTTTTTTTGCCATGCTGAAGCAAGTCACTGCAGTTGTTAAGTGAATTATACAGTCATTAAGTGAATCTGGGGTTCCCCCCTTTACTTTGCTTGTCAGAAGCTGGCTGGGAAGGCAGCAAATGGCAGCATGACCCCAGGATGCTGCAACCTTCCTAAATCCAGGCCAACTGCCAAATAACTGAATTCTGATCATTTCATCGTGGGGATGCTGCAATGATCCTAAGTGTGAAGACTAGTCGTGGTAACTCTCTCTTTTTATAGTGCCTGTAACTTTGAATAGTCACCAAATGAATGGTTGTAAATCAGGGACTACTATATATCAAGATGGCATACTGGGGCTTTTTGTTGCTCTGAAACAAATAGATCATTGACTCCAATCATTAACAGTTCACAAAAACAAAACAAAAAAAATCCAAAGCAAAACATTGGATGGAAAGCCCCCTCACTTTGGCAGACGTGTTTCCTGTTGAGCTATTTGTAGATTAGAGTAGCTACTTCTGCAGTCAGGATATGTCAGACTGCCTTTAATGGGAAGCTGAGAAAGCTATTGGTACTTTCCTTGATCCTTCATACGCATTCTTACTATCCTTCAACCGGTTCAAATTGGAATTCCCTTTAAAGCCAGATAAACAGCATCTGACTCCAGCCAGTTGATCATAAAGGAAGTACATTTGTGTGTTTTAGTTTCCTAAGTCATTTCCTTTAGATGATTAAGTACACCTACCTGTGATCTCACCTCTAGACAAGCCAGTTTGGTGTAGCGGTTAAGGTATTGGCCTATAAACTGGGAGACCGAGTTCTAGTCCTGCCTTAGGCACAAAATTAGCTGGGTGACATTGTGCCAAACACACCTTCTGCACCTTAGGAAGAAGGAAAAGGCAAACCAAAAATCTTGCCAAGAATACTGAGGGGACTAGTTCAGTTACAACTGACGTATGGGCATGCATACGTGCGCGCACATGCACACTAAAAATCCTCACCTTTCAGTTATTAATTTTTGGAGTAGTGCATCCCAGGGAAAATATAATTCACTTTTAAAAATGTTCCTAAAATGAGAAGCGTTTGGGAGCACTATTTATAATTTAAATATTTCTTATTGGAGATGTGGAAGAATGGGAAGAAATAGGATTTCACTTTAGTCTTACATTTAATTATTACCGGCGATAGGTCAGTTTGGACAAACTTCCTATGCATCTTGGAAAGAGACAGGTAAGACAAGTCTTTTACCTAGCTCTAACAACATGAGGATCTCATTGTCCTAATGAACCTCACAGGAAGGCTGAAACTATATATGGGTCAACACATGGCTTGGGCCAGGTTATAGGCAGAACCGCCTCTGAAGATATCTGAGGATTTCTTCCTGTGTCGCCAGGTCAGATATAGTCAGTGCTCCAGTTCCCTTCCCTTAAATGTTAGCATCTAGTACAGAGCACCCCATTGCCAGCAATGGCAAAACTCTCCAGATACGTTGCGCGACATCACGTGACGTCGCAAGTTTGATATGTCTGATCTAGTAGGACCTGGGAAGTTGGTCTCCTCAGCAGAGCCTTTTATTCTTCCAAAAGGCCTTGAAAGGCTCAGCATAGGAGAAAGCTGGAGCTCACTGATTGCAATCATTTATGTATTGGGGAGTATTGTTTTGGGATAAATTGTGTATCTCTGGCAGCTAGCTTATGTCTTCTATGTTTTGTTGTAAGCTGCTCAGTTATGACAGATAAGGTAGGCAGCCATATCTCTTAATACATTCATACAGTTTGGAATTTTCAGGCATTCTATGCAAGGATGCCTGTAATGTCTTCTTATGACAAATCTAGGTTTAGCTAGGCAGCCAATTTTTAATTCATTTCACAATAACCACTTTACGAACACTGTTATCATGAGAATCTTTTGCAACGTATGTCCATTCCGATTTTTAACTGATGCACATGTTGACTTAAGAAACATTCTTAAGGAATCTAAATTAATGACAATTTTTGTTTGCTTATTTTCACAGATATCCAGAATGCTTTTCTTTTACAAGGGCCCAGGCATCAGTGGATCTGTTCCGCAGATGAAGACAAGTTTGTATGGTTTTCTGCATTACAAAAAGCAATTCACTGTAGTATCAGTCAGGATGTAAACTGAATAAGGCAATGTAGTGACTGAAGTTGGGACTGACAACTCGGTCATTAAGTGAAGCAGTTGCTAAGTGAAACCCATGTCTGTGTTTATGATCTTCTTTCAGTTTTCCTTTGTTTTATATACCTACAAGGGTTGTAAATGTGACAATTGGTCACAAAGATTTCAACCCTGTTATAACTGCAAATGGTTGCTGTATGAGGCATTGGCTAAATGAGGACTGCCTGTATACTTTCCATGTATGTTGCTCATGATCTAATGACATGGTGGATGTGACCATTAACTGAAATAACTTTATTATAAGCAAATTTAGTATGAAATAAATATATACAATGATTTATGACAGGAGGTTGTGGTTGAGTCATAGGTTATGAACGTGGTTATTAAAATAAGACATCAGAAGTTTTTTTAAAGGAATACTTCCTTATCACCAATAAGATACATCTTGGCTGATTTTGGACTTTACTTATGCAGTCAAAATTTTATATCTGAAAATTTCAATTTTGCAGTAGAAATTGTTTCAAACAATGCTCTCATCCGTATCTTGCACAAGTACTGGATAGGCATCTGCCACCCTTATACTGATTAGTGCTGGAGGAAATCTACAAACTAAATATTGTATAAGAGCTGAAATCTTTGGATTTGAATATGGGAATGTCAGGATTGAGCATAAGGCAGGCGCATACTATATCCAAGTGCTCATGAGCTTCAAAATAAATTTGTGAAAATAAAGTGGTTTTGTTTCAATGACTGAATATAAGGGATATACCTACCTTTCTAGACCTTTCTTATATTTAGTAAAATAATAAATTATATTTGCTATGACTTGATATTCTGTTTACGCCATGTAACATGTAGAGATTATTAGTGAACCATTAATGTAACTGCACGATGCATATTTTATTTTGAATATATTGTTTTGCATGTGCAGTGAATGCTTTTTATGACTTTTTTCTTCTTCCTAAATGTTTGATATTTTCTACTAAAAAGTTTGTTTCCAATTTTAATAAGTGAATATATGACTATTAGTAGCATGTAGTGATCTTAGACTAGTAGAAATTCTGCAACCAGACATAGTCTGGCTCCCATAGAATGCTAAACATGTCTTTTTTATTTTGTCCTATCATAATGTATGAACTCACCCAGTTCTAGCCTTAAAATAACTGACTCCATATTCAGTAAAAAAAAATGTACAAAAGTCAATTGTCTTCTGTTATTGAGCCAAATTAAAAGGATTAACTCCAATTAAAATATTGTGCTGTTTTATTGTTGTAAAAATCACACAGTTGCTAGTTCTGATTCTGCTGAGATACTTCCATGCATTTTAACATCTATGATCCCACAGCCAGAATAAGCCATTAAATAGAATATCTGCTGTTAGTCAGCATTAATGCAAATTTACATATGAGATCAAAAGGGTGTGTATTATACAATATACAACAAATCCTAATACAGTACATCAACCTGAATAGCAGGATACACTCAGGAAATTTTGTGTTAATAACGAAGCCTGTCTACAAGCAGAAGAATAATGCCTGGAGACATGAACAGAAATAAGAACCCAACATTTTAAGAAACACAACTTGGGGGTGGTGGTGGTGGTGGGTGAGGAGTAGAGGGGGAAGATTGGGAAAGAGTTGAGGTACTGACACATTTCTTGACCACAAAGAGTGTTACAGTAACGTTTGGTGGATGTGTCAGTTTGTAAAGGATAATGTGCAAAGCATGCAACTATATGTGGTGTTCAGGAAAAGTGCATGGCTGAGATCAACACCCGATCCTTTCACAGAAGAGAAACACTTGTGGGCAGACTGCAAAATGACATCATGAATGCAAACATTTTAACAATAGTCAAGCTGTGGTCACACGCGCAGTATATCAACAGGCAAGGACAACAGAATTTGGTATGGCAAAGTGTAAAAGAACATAGGCTGGACTTGGAAGATATTGGGTTACTCAAATAGAATAGGCTTCTGAAATTACTAATGATTTGCAAGACTACAAACTCTGATTTGGGGGGGATCAGTGATGACCACAGCTGGCTAATTTCCATTTACACAGTAAGACAGATGTGTAAAAGGTATTTATGATAAATATATGTGCTTCTGTGATAAAGGTAGCTTTTGGGATGCTTTTATTTATGATGCTTTGACGTGAAATATAGAAAATTCATTTAGTATTCAGTTCCAGTTTGGGATATAGGCCACTTAAGTTGTATAAATCTGGTTCCAACTTAAAAATTGTGTCCTCCCAAGAAAATGGGAATATATTGAACATTCAAGGAAACACTTATTTCATTCTTTGTATTAAAATTATAAAAAGTTACTTAAATACAGCTGTGGACAGAGGACATATCAATCACAACAAAAATGTTAAGAGTGCACTGAGTGAAACATATGGGATTTTAATTAGGCCTTTTACCCAATTTTCTGTTTCAGAGTTAATTATTTCACAGTTAATGGCAACTGGTTTATAAGTGAGAGAAGGGCCGAAGCTGTTCCAGTTGAACCTCCAGTGAAATTCTCTCCTCCAGGACATCCTAGAAAGGAGAAATTTGCCATTTAGATACCACAATGAAAGTGCATTAACATATGCATGCACATGCATGCACAATTATACACATTTTGCTGGTTTTATGCAGAGAACAGTGTTTATGCAAATAATATAAGACAGTGAAGTTAGACACAACTTTTACTTCAGTATGCAAAATTTCTGCCTAAAAAGTGTTCTTTATATTTTTCTTAAAAACATAGCATCAGTCAGCAATTATGTTCAATAATCTTGTTTAGGGAGGAACACTTGTGGTTTCTTTGCAAGTGAAAAAGTAAATCAATAAAGAAATACTGAAACAAACTATTTCAACAAAACTATTTTACATTTAGTGAATAGAGCAGAGTAGAGTAGAGTAGGAATCTGGAAGGGACCTTGGAGGTCTTCTAGTCCAGCCCCCTGCTCAAGCAGGAGAACCTATACCATTTCAGACAAGTGACTGTCTAGTCCAATGGTGGTGAACCTATGGCATGGGTGCCAGAGGCGGCACTCAGAGCCCTCTCTGTGGGCACGCACGCCGTTGCCCCAGTCCTAGGCCTTCAGCTGGGTTTTATAAAACCTTTTTGCTTTAGGCCTCCACCGCCGTGTGCAAAAAAAAAAAAGTTCAATCAGTCAATTTCAACTTCTCGTGGGGAAAAAAAAGATCTTGCAAAGTTGGAATTGATTGATTGAACTTTTTAGTCCCACCCAGTCTGCTGTTACCACCGCAGCCACGCCCACCCAATGGACCACGCCCACCCAATGGGTCACATCCACCTGGCACTCGATGATGCATAAGTGGGTTTTGGGTTGCAGTTTGAGCACTCAGTCTCTAAAAGGTTCGCCATCACTGGTCTAGTCTCTTCTTAAAAATCTCCAGTGATGGAGCGCCCACAATTTCTGAAGGCAAGCTGTTCCACTGGTTAATTTTCCTCACTGTTAGGAAGTTTCTCCTTAATTCCAGGTTGCTTCTCTCCTTGACCAGTTTCCAACCATTGTTTCTTATCTTGCCCTCTGGTGCTTTGGAAAATAGTTTGATGCCCTCTTCTTTGTGGCAGCCCCTCAAATATTGGAATACTGCTATCATGTTGCCCGTTTCTTCTTTTCTTTAGACTAGCCAAACCAAAGTCCTGCAGCCGTTCTTCATATGTTTTAGTCTCCAGGCTTTTGATCATTTTAGTTGCTCTTCTCTGAACTTTTTCAAAGGTCTCAACATCTTTTTTGTAGTATGGTGATCAAAATTGGTTGCAGTATTCCAAGTGTGGTCTTACTAGGTTTTATAAAGTGGTACTAGTACATGATCTTGATTCTATGCCTCTGTTTATACAACCCAGGATTGTATTAACTTTTTTGGCTGCTGCTGCACACTGCTGGCTCATAGTCAAGTGATCGTCCACTAGGACTCCAAGGTCCCTCTCACAGTTGCTGTTTTTGAGCCAGGTCTCGCCCAATCTGTACTTAAAACTTTGATTTTTCCTGCTTAAATGTAAAATTTTGCTTTTCTCCATATTAAAACCCATTCTGTTGGATAGGGCCCATTGTTCAAGTTTGTCAAGATCTTTTTGGATCCTGAGCTTGTCTTCTGGGGTGTTGGCTATTCCTGCCAGCTTGGTGCTATCTGCAAATTTGATGAGTTCCCCTTCTATTCCCTCATCTAAGTCATTAATGAAGATATTGACGAGTACTGGGCCTAAGACGGAGCCTTGTGGTACCCCAATGCTTCTCTCCATGTGGATGTAGTACCACTGAAGAGTACTCACTGAGTACAGTTTGTCAGCTTTTTTATTATTACTGGATGTATGAACTGCATATGATGTCAGTTTATAGGTAGTCAAATTCATTATTGTCTTGAGTAGTTGTGTCTTTAATGCAGCTAATGCTGCAAACCTATTTTGCTGGAAAAATGTACTGAGAATTAAAAGCTTACATTCTTTGTGAATCTGCAGTCAAAATCTTCTAATGGTGATTGTTCCACCATTTCAATGAGATGACTGAGAACATATCTGTCAACAACTTCATTCATACATAGAATACTTGTCAAACTGAATGCCTCTTTTCCCTTCTTACCCCCCTCCCCTCCCTTAATTTCATGGATCTTGTAATTAGGTTTAAGTATTTCCAACATGCTCTGGAGCCTGAATACAGCTAACTTAAATTATATAAAGTAGCTGAATCTCCAAAAGAACATACTAATTGAAAGCATGAGCTGTGGATACTGGGCTTTTCTTTACAAGTTTGCTAAACAGAAAGTACAATACTGAAGAAGAATGTATGTTTGTAAAACATCTCATAATAACTTGTCAATTATCTTACCTTTAATTGTTGCTGCAATTCACTGTTCAGTCTGGCCAAAACAGTGTTGGTCTCCTTATTGCGTCTAATTGATGCCTGAATAGCTTTCTTGTCCTTTCCCACTGATCTGAGGAGACATTTCATGAAACAACTTTCAGGAACTATGGAATACTTTTCTCCCCTAAAAGCTCAAGTTGTTTTGAACACGATATTGTTAAATTCCTTAGCTCTGTAATGTGCTTAATTGTACAACTGTAAAGAAAATGGCTTTTATAATTTTGGCCTTCTGTTTTCTGATTACAGAGCTAATATTTGAAGCATTTAAAGCCTACATGTGTTTGCTGGCACTTTCTAAGACTCTTTTTTTTTCTATGAAGAGATCCCAGGGTTGAACAACTCAAAATCACCTTTGAATTGTTCTATTTTGCAAGTTCCAACAGAACAGAATATCTGTAGCTCAGGAACTGTGGAATCCTTGCTGCTCTCTAAACTTGTTTGCTTGCAGACGTTTCATTACCCATTTGGGTAACAACATCAATGTCAGCGAGTGTGGGTTCTGCTCCCTGATTATATACAACAGCTTTTTTCCAAGTGTTTGAAACAACAAAGCCGCTGTCTGAACATTTCACTGGATTGAATTCTTTATATTTCACAACTTTATAGCTTCAAAAATCACTGAACATGTTTCCAACAACAGTTTAAACCAGGCATGTCAAACTTCTGGCCCATGGGCCAGATGCATCACGCCGAAACCGTGCCCATCCCATTGCCGGCAATGGGGGAAAAGTCCCAATACCTTGTGCGACGTCACGTGACGTTGCGAGTTTGACATGCCTGGTTTAAACAGTACCAGTTTATATGACTGTCTGTGTAAATGTAGGTGGTGGCCAAATGAATTTCCCAATCTCCTATTTTGTGGCCTGCCCAGAACACCCCCCCCCCCACAAATTAAGAAGCAAAATCACAGGGGTTTGTTTTTTTTACAGGGAAACAGTTCACAAAATCAAAAGCACATTATCCTGCACTTTGACTACTGCAACTTAGAAAAATACCAAAGGTCTCAATCTTCAGCCTTCCCCTTGGACACACCTTAGAATCCAATTTTAGTTTAGAACATCACCCAAATGGAAAAAGTTACCCCAAGAGTTGGGCTTTCTCTCAATCATATATATAAAAAGCTCCACATGATGAAAGAAGGGTGTGTGTGTGTGTGTACATCGGTTAGTTTGCATGAGCCATTTCATTCCATCCTTATACCGAACACACAGATATTTTATTTAATTTTAATAAATAGGCACTTGCAAAAGGAGCTTGCAAAATATTTTGTAGTAATTTCCCCTGTAGCCTCAAGATTAAAACTTGTGTGCAGATCAAAGTTTGAGTATACTGCCTTTCTTAGCAATTCGAGGACTCAAGCATCACAGACCATTTATAGGCCTCTTTAATAAATCTATTTGCTATTTAAAATGAAAATATCTCAGTATTAGAGATTCTCATACACATCTTGGGTTACCTAGGAATAGATGGCTGAGAAGCAAGAACAGCAGCTATGACACCTGTTTTCTGCGCATGCTCCTCCACTTCAGGTTTCAGCTCATCTTCGGATTTTGGCCTTCTGCGGATAGGCTTTGGTGGTGGTGCTAGAGGTGTAGTGCCTTTGGCCTGAAAAGAGAGTCATCGTGGTTGATGAATACATACTCCAGTTAAGTTTCACCTGACTTCAGAAAAATTAGTTGGTTAAGTAATTACAAATACTAATTATTTAAGCTATAAGAACCGCTTTGAGGTAGTGGTTAAGGCACCAGGCTAGAAACCAGGAGACTGAGTTCTTGTCCCATTTTATGCACAAAGCCATGTAGGTTACCTGGGCCAGCCCCCTTCTCTCAGTTCTTGAAAGAGAGTGATGGCAAAGTACTTCCAAAATCTTGCCAAGTCCATGCAGTTGCCAGGAATCAACACTGATTTGATGGCAGGCAGGCAGGCACACACACACACAGATAGCTAGTGATTAAACTAATTAGTACAATTAATTATGGCTTTTAAAAAGATCTTTCTGTAAGTCTCTTTAATAAGAGACCACACACAATTCTACAAGCTGTAAGGTAAGCTGTTCCTAGGGATATAGGACCTTTTCTTAGAGGTCATCTCACTTGGTAGAAGCAGCTAATTTTCATAAACCTCTCTGAAGACCTTAGCCACAAAAAAAAAAAAAAAAAA